GTAAAGTAGACACCCCAAGGAATTTGATAAGAGGCATGGTGAGTATTTTGCAGATCTCATTTTTGCCACAGGGTTTTGAAAAAAAAAAAAAAAGAATAGAAAAAATACCTTTGTTTTCTTTTTGTTTTCCAAAAACATGTGGCAACAAATGAGATCTGCAAAATACTCACCATGCCTCTTACCAAATTCCTTGGGGTGTCTACTTTCCAAAAAGAGGTCATTTGGAGGGGTTGCTTCTACTATCCTGTCATTTCAGGGCCAACATTCGAAGCTTATGCCACACATCACTCACTCTTGAAGACCAAGCCTTTACTGACACTCTTTGTTCACATGAAAAATCATTTTTTTTTGCTAGAAAATTACTTTGAACCCCCAAACATTATATTTTTTTAAAGCAGAGGCCCTAGAGAATAAAACGATGGGTGTTGAGATTTTTTACATCACACAGTATTTGAGCAGCGATTTTTCAAATGCAAATATTTTGGGAAAAACAAACTTTTTAGAATTTTAATGCACAAAAACACAATACATTGCCCAATTGTTTCATAAAATATAACAGATGATGTTATGCTGAGTAAATCGATACCAAACATGACATGCTTCAAATCTGTGCATGGCCATGCAATGGCACCACAATACATACATTTTTATTATCGATAGGCGACGCTTTAAAAGCCTTTCCAGGTCACCAATTTATATTTACACAGGAGGTCTAGCTCTAGAATTACTGCCCTCGATGTGCTGTTCCCCGTGATACCTCATATGCATGGTGCAACTGCTACTTACATAACGGCACAGGGTCAACGTTTGCGCATGCAGGGTGTGAGTGCGCAGGGGGGAAAGGGTATTTTCCCCCCTGTGGAAGGCAGCAGGGGGGGGAATGTCCATTCCCGATGCTTGTAAAAACAATTCAGCAGCTAATTAGCCACTAGGATTGCTTTGAAAGCCGACCACCAGCTGAAAAAAAATTATACCAGGATGATGCCTGTAGCTATAGCCATCATCCCGGTATAACCACTCAAAGTCCAGCGACGTACCAGTTCATTGCTCGTCCATGCTGGGCATATATGTAACGGCGGAGAACCGCAATTCATTATTTTTTTTGGAATGCCCATGTTGAGGGTTAGGCCCAAAAAAAGTTTTAAATTCAGAAACCGTGATAGGTTTCCATGCGAATTGTCTGGCAAGAGCTAAATTTGAGTAGGTGGCGATGTATTGTTGTGCATATAAATTGCCTTGGCCCATAATCAAGTGGTACAAATCTTCCGGGAAAAAGAGCAGAAGGGCTAAACGCTAGTGCTGGCAGCGAACGGGTCTGATCATGCTAACACTGCGTTTATGGGGACACTATACAAAGCAGGCACTAGTATAGTTTTGCTTATGATCATTATATTGATCTGTACAAACACTACTACTAGTAATGGGAATGATCATCAACCTATAGCGTGAGTGAGATAGTCTGCGTGCAATCTAACGCTAGCTGACCCTAGCTGGGAGGGGCGCTAACTGACCTGATGCTATCTGATGTTGCTAGTGGCAGGAATACAGTAATCAGAGAAAAATGTTATATACTGACACTGTACTAATGATGCTGGCTGGGTGATGAGGCGATCAAAGGGTTAATACGGGCGATCAAAGGGTTAAATGTGCTAATCTAACATGTGTGTGTAAAATGTAGTACTTTTACTCACAGTACAATAAATTGTTCAATAGACATAAATAAATCAGGTTTCAGTCAGTTTTTCACTTCTTGGTCACATATACGCAGTACCAACAGTTTGATTTTTTAACAGGCGAGAAACACATGATGCTTTGTATTGTCTGTTTGGCAGATGTTTTCCAAACTTTTGCATTGATTTTTTGGCTCAAAAATGTCATTACCAATTGTCCATTTGTACACATTAACTGGACGAAAAATGAATGAAATGTCCAAATTACAGATTTTCAAATGATTTTTCATCTAGTGTATGGCCACCATTAGGAAAGCAGGGTAGAACATATCTAAATAACCTAGCAAGGGTTAGATACCATTGTAATAGTACTTTGTAAGAGTATTGTAGTGTGAAAACATGAAAGAATTAGCTGTTCAGGGCAATATGTTTGCCCATTGTTCCTCAATAAGAAATGATCTGAAAATGATATTTCAAATTCTTCTTTGGATAAGTTTGACTCAGGGCACCAGACTACACCTAGAAGTTAAATATCTATTTAGGGTGGCCTGGCCATCGTAGAGTAAGTGCATTTTTATTGAATTTATCTGTTAAGGACCTGAATGCATCCCTGGCAAGCCACAAATCTCACCTGCTTAATCTTCTGAGATGTTTGAAGTGCGACCCGCTTTATTCCTCTAACGCACACATGTACTTTCCAATGGAAAGACTGTACAGGTAAAGATGTGGCTTTTTTTAAAGAAGCTAGGAGAAGACGTCAGGGCCCACTATTAGAAAGTAAACTTACCCTTTAATTTTGTGATTAAATGTTCAGGGCATAAATCTTTAAGGACTCATGCACACTGGGTATTTGCTTTTTTCCTCTGAAAGCCAGAGCTCCTGGCACGAGAAAAGCTGACTAAAAAACATATTCAAAGAGGCTTATTGCACACGTTTTGGTGCGTCAAGTGTTTGGCCATTAATGGATTTCCTTGGCCAGAATATTAATTTATTCTGGCCACTGGAATGTATTAATGCTCAAATTAGCCTAGCGTTTAGAAACATTTATACGCATCTAACTTTTTTCTTCTTTTCAGCTCCTCTCCTGAACGCAATTTTGATGTGTTTTTTTCAGCTTGTAAGGGCTCCTCTTCTAATATGCCTGTAAACGCTTATGTGTGCATGCACACAAACACTATATTGCCAAAAATATTGGATTCAGGGGTTCCAATCACCTCCATGGCCACAGTTGTATAAAATCAAGCACCTAGGCATGCAGACTGCTTCTACAAAACATTTGTGAATGAATGGGTTATTCTCAGGAGCTCAGTGAATGCAAGCGTGGGTACTGTGAGAGGTTGCCACCTGTGCAATAAATCCATCCGTGAAATTTCCTTGCTACTAAATATTCCAGGGTCAATTCTTAGTGGTTTTATAACAAAGTGGAAGCAACTGGGACCAACAGCAACTGAGCCATGAACTGGTAGGCCACATAAAGTGACAGAGCGGGGTCAGCACATGCTGATGCGCACAGTGGACAGAAGTCACCAATGTCTGCAGAGTCAATAGCTAAAGAACTTCAAACTTCATGAGGCCTTCAGATTAGCACAACAGCGCGTAAAAGTCGTGTTCTCTGGAGTGACGCTCCTCACGCTTCTTGTCTGGCAAGTCGATGGATGTGTCTGGGTTTGGCGGTTGCCAGGAGAACGGTACTTGCCAGACTGAATTGTGCCAAATTTGGTGGAGGGGTGATTATGGTGTGGGGTTGTTTTTCAGGGGTTGAGCTTGGCCCCTTAATTCCAGTGTTGGGAACTCTTAAGGCGTCAGCATACCAAGACCTTTTGGACAATTTCATGCTCCCAGCTTGTGGGAACAGTTTGGCGATGGCCCGTTCCTGATCCAACATGACTGTGCACCAGTGTACAAAGCAGTGTCCATAAAAACATAGATGAGCGAGTTTGGGGTGGAGGAACTTGACTGGCCTTTGGGATGAACTAGAGTGGAGACTGCTAGCCAGACCTTCTCGTCCAACATCAGTGCCTGACCTCACAAATGCGCTTCTGGAAGAATGGTGAAACATTCCCACAGACACAATCCTAAACCTTGTGGATAGCCTTCCCCAAAGAGCTAAAGCTGGTATAGCTGCAAAGGGTGGGCCAACTCAATATTGAACCCTACGGACTAAGACTGGGATGCCATTAAAGTTCATGTGCTTGTGAAGACAGACGTCCCAATACTTTTGGCAGTATAGTGTAGGTTAAAATAGAGGTGCTCTTAAAGGCTCAAAAAAAACCCCACAAACTTTGTCCAGTGTGCATGAGGCCTTAAAGCTGCACTAATGTGAACAGAAAACAAAAATTTAACATGCTCATTAAGAAAAAAAAATCAACCAAAAAAAAACTCTGAAAGCTCTAAACTTAGTTATTATTCTGTGAGTGATAGCTCACACCAGATATGCTTACATTCATTTTTCTTATTTATGTTTTTTTTTTATGCAAACAAAATGCATATAAGAAAATCCATTATTGCCCATACCCATTAAAATGTTGTACTGTAGTACACATTTCTGCTGAATTTTTGGGGGTCAACATATTTTCTGCAATTCAAGCCAATTTAAACAGAGGCTTTCAAACATGCATCTCTGATGCACAGTGAGTGAGCATAAGTATTCTGGTGTGAATGAGCCCCAACAGGTGCATTCATTCCATTCTGTTGGTATATTTCCCATCTAGAGCGCAATCAAAAATGTATATCTAATTATATATGTTTACTTATTTCAATAAGAGTTGTTCAAATTTATAATTGAAATGCTCTTAAGACAATATTTACCTCTAACTAATCACAGGCAAGCCGGCAGTGCCCATTTTGATACATGTCGCAGTCTCCTTCGCTCTATAGCAAGAATGACGTTGACACAGCGGAGTACTTATCTGCTATCCTGGAGCCCTCTCTCTGGAATCTACCTCTGTGGTGTCAAGCTTCATACAGTAGTTCAAGCAGAGCTCTGTATACTAATCTCCTCTGGATAGGCTGTAATAGACAGTGTCTGTCATCGGTAAAAATATATTCTACTTGCAGTTCTCCACTATTCTTCAATGTTTTAGGTAGACAACTGCATAATGACACCTGCTGGAGCCATGACATGCAAAACTAGCAATGAGAGAGAGAGAATCTGAAATACTAGGGATAGCCTAACCTAAATGTTAAACGTACAAATTTATAAAACACTTTTAGGAGTACAGTATGGTAGACTACTAATCTAAATTTAAAGGATACAATATGGCTTACATTCACAAAGACAGTCAGTGTTGTAAAGATGAGTTACATTTGTTTTTCCTGTTGCATACATACTTTCTCTTAGCATCATGTTCTTCAAAGTTGCTGTCCCATCTTTGAGACATTAATATGCTAAGTTCCATCTCCTCTTTCTCCACCTGGGGCTCATTTTCCTCATCATCACTGTTCTGCATTGTACTGCGTCTTGAAGAGTAAGTATTTTGTGATAAGCGTTTGGACAGATTCATCTGATAGCCATCATCTTCTAGGCCAGCAAGCAGTTTCACCATGGCTTCATCTTGGCTGCTATTGACTGAAAAATAAAAATAATGAAAATCTTTGCTCTTCCTCTACTTAAGACATAGGTAAAAAAAATTATACTCAGTACCGTTATACACAAACAGTTGCACTTTTATTGTCACCACTTAAAGAGACAATGTTGGTAAAACAAAAGAAAAAAGGTTGCTGTACTATAAAATACAGACACCTAGGGGTGCCTGAATGTACCGGCAGATGTGTCAGCAAGTCCTCCCATTATGGCCAAATATCAGGCTGTTCAGACAGGCAAGGGTGCATGCATTTTATACCTGCAAACATCTGTGGGTTTTTTTTTTTTTTTTAACCGCTCTATAGCAGAAATACTGCTACAGGGTGACACGGGTGCGCAAAATCATGTGCATATACGTGATTTTGCAGTTCAGGGTAGAGGGGGGCGCGCCCTACCTGCGCCACCATACGCAGCCTGGGCTTTCAATCACCGGGTCCTGGCTGTGATTTCTGTCGATATATTTTGCTTATAGCGCAAAAATTAAAAACTGCAAAGACCATCAAATGCCACCAAAAGAAAGCTCTATTTGTGTGGAAAAAAGCACGTAAATTTAATTTGGGTGCAGTTTTGTATGACCACGCAATTGTCAGTTAACCTCTTCCCTACCGCGTTATAGCCAAAAGACGGCTACAGTGCGGTTGTCTAGTTCTGGGAGGACATCCATTGACGCCATTCCAGAACACGCACCCTACACGTCCCCAGCAGCGTGCAGCCAGCGCCGCCGGTGATCGCTGTGTCCTACGGACACAGCAGATCACGTGATACAGTAAACGGCCAATCACAGCAGCCTTTTACCACATGATCAGCTGTGTCCAATGACACAGCAGATCACCAGGTAAATACAGTTGCTTGTTATCGGCTGCACTTTCCTCACGCCGTGAGGAAAGTACTGCCAATAACCAGCAACTGTCAGAGCAGTGATCGGCTCTGATCATCAGGGCCCTGATCATCAGTGACCAGCAATGCCATCTACCTGTGCCCATCAGTGCCGCCCACCTGTGCCCATCAGTGCCGCCCCACCTGTGCCCATCAGTGCCGCCCACCTGTGCCCATCAGAGCCAACCACCTGTGCCCTGTAGTGCCACCCTCTTCCCTGCAGTGCCACCCACCTGTGCCCAGCAGTGCCACCCACCTGTGCCATCCATCAATTCTGCCCAGCAGCGCCGCCCATCAGTGCAGGATCATCAGTGCCTATCCGTGCCACCTCATCAGTGCCACCTCATCAGTGCCACCTCATCAGTGCCCATCATTGCTGCCTATCAGTGCAGCCTCATCAACGCACATCAGTGAAGGAGAAAAAATTACCTGTTTGCAAAATTTTATCATAGAAACAAAGAACATTTTTTTTCAAATTTTTTTGCTATTTTTTTGTTTTGTAGCGCAAAAAATAAAACACCCAGCAGCGATTAAATACCACCAAAAGAAAGCTCTATTTGTGTGGAAAAAATGCTAAAAATGCAATATGGGTATAGTGTTGCATGAACGCGCAATTGTCGTTCAAAGTGTGACAGCGCTGAAAGCTGAAAATTGGCCTGAGCAGGAAGGGGGTATAAGCAGGGGCGGACTGATCATTTGGAAACTCAGGCACTGCCCGAGGGCCCGGGGTCAGTAGGGGGGGCCCCATGAGATGCCCCTGGTACCTTTTTCATAGGCTTTTTTGAGTTTGGTTAAGGACACAGGGGCCCCATGATCCCCTATTGCCCGAGGGCCCCATGAGTTGTCAGTTTGCCCCTGGGCATAAGTGCCCGGTAGCAAGTGGTTAAAGTAACGCAGCGCCATATTGCAAAAAAATGGCCTGGTCAGGAAGGGGGGGGGGGGGGGTAAATCCTCTGGAGGGCAAGTGGTTAAAGTTACATAGAGCCACGGCTTGACCCCAATCTCCGCTCTCTCCTCATTGGCTCACTGGCTGTGATGGTGTCTCAGCCAATAAAGAGAGAGAGACCTGTGACAGCTGACGCTCTCGTGTACATTGCTGGATTGAAAGGGGGCTCGGGGGAGTATTAGGGGGCTGTGGAAGGAACAGCACACAGAAGTTTTTTTTGGCCAAAAAACCTTCAGCCCTTACAACCACTTTAAGAGACATTTTAAAAGAAGAAATGGCAAATTTAAAAGATACATATAAACCTAAAGTCTACAGAAGATATTTTAGTTTTGGCTTGTTGCTCACATTTTCTTCATGTTTATATTACAGTTTGTAGTTTGGACAAACTACACCCAGTATGAAGAGCGTAAGCCTGTGCAGTTTACATGCATGAATATAAACACTCTATTCCCTTTGGAAAAAATGAATTACACGGCACATAACCTTGCACTTTTAAATACTGCATACTGCAAGTGATTACTGCACTGATGCTGGCAGATAAAGTGCGAACCTTATTCTCTCAAACTAAACTGCAGAGATTCAGTCACTGATGCATACAGTTGCCATTCAAAAACACTGTTACAGAGGAGCATTTGTTATGGATTTAAAGCAAAACGATAAGTAGAAGGGTACACTGTGAAGAGCCAGTGCCTCTCAAAAGGGGAGCCAAAGAAAGTTCTGATCTCACAGCCATCAATCACCAGAACGCATCTCCCTAAGCACGTCAATTCCATTTCTAAAGCTTTTACAAAAGCTTATCTGTATAGCCTGTCTGAGGCTTTTCATGACCCAGCAGGCAAAAAACAATACATCTCTTCACTTACACAAATCATTTGCTAGTATAACTGCAAAGCGTTAGATACCATTTAGCAATGACGGTCACAAATTTTTCAAAGCTCCTGGGTGGTCACAGTGTCTGGCAAACCTCGGAGAGCACAGGAAATCAATAACAAGTGATTCCTGGGATTCTGTCATCAAGACCTATATCACACTTATACTAAAAAAAAAGCCAGTGTCTGTGAGATGAATGAAGGTTTTTCAGCACAGAATACAAACGGTCAACAGCACAGTTCTAGTACAAGACCAATAGAAATGTAAAGTAACTGGTTTCACAGAACACAGCATTGTAGGCTCTTGTATAATGTTCTAAGGGCAGTCAACGTCAGCATACTACTAGCCTAAGGAACTGATCAGTGTTTTCCAAAATGAAATACTGAGAAAAGTGTACATTTTAGAGCACGCTTAGCAAAATGCTTTTACAGAATCTCATTCCCAACTTAATTTCCTAAGTTTTTACCATATGAGACATCATTCTATGCTAGGACATTAAAAAATATTTTCAAACCAACTTTGGTCAATGTAATATTTAGAAGTACCCCTAGGAAGTCAGTTGTAATGATCTGAAAGTCTGGCAATCGCTTTCACTTGTGATGAAGTCAAGTCTGCTATTAAACAGCAATCCTCTATAGACATGATCAAGAGAGTTGGAGATTATTTTTCTAAACGACAATTCACTTCATCAAGTTTATATATGTGACCATTGCCTATATGTATTATCATACAGCCCTGACATACAGTACATGACCCTCTGCCAAGTATAGCTGGAACTATATCTCATAAAGTCATATGACTGCCATTACTAAAAACATACACGCAATTTAAAAAGTCTAATTTACTTATGTATTCCTCACTTAATTGCCGACAAAAAACAAAAATGACAATTTAGCAATCTAAACTATTAAAAAATAGCATCATCGTTCCAATCTAATTGAAAAAAAAAAAAATTCTGTTAAACCAGAAAATTACTTACAAAAAAGTGGAGACTGGCTCAGCCTTTGACACACAGGCTGGAAGCACTGACTTGTTTCCATAATATTTAAAATGGCTTCTTCATCAATGACTGCATCTGCACGACCCTCATCTTCACACAGCTCAGATTCTGTTAACAGACAATACAATAATAAACGTCACTTGTGATAGGTTAATGCAATATAAATACTCGGTTTAGGATCTAAGGGGCACTGAAGTGAAACATTACACACTATTTTTCCCCCTAGTACAGGGGTAGGTAACATGCGGCTCTCCAGCTGTTGCAGGACTACAAGTTCCATCATACCTCTGCAAGTCATAGCTGTAACTGTCAGTTTTGTAATGTTGCAATGCCTCATGGGAAATGTAGTTCCACAACAGCTAGAGAGCCGCAGGTTGCCTACCCCTGCCCTAGTAAAACATTTAATCCTTGGATCAAAAGGAGTTTATACCATGCAATAAAATCTCTAACCCGACCAAGGTTTATATACAGTATGTAGCTACACAACAGGCTCCAGCTACCCAAAACACAAATAACTTGGGCCACTTTGTTTTATGTTGCCTTATCAGTTTCTTAACATTCTGAAATTTAATACCAAAATGAATGTTATAAATTAAAAAAAAAACAAAAATCTTTAAAGTGGTTCTAATTCCTAAACATTTTACCTTAATACATTCTTTGCATTAAGATAAAAAATTTTAGGTTTAAGTAATGCCACCCACCCCCAATACTTACCCTAGCCCAATCTCAATCCAGCAATGTGCCCATCTGCAGCAGCTCTCTCTCTCTCCTCTTCTCCTCGCTCTCTTATGGAGAGCAGCAGGAGCCATTGGTTTCCGCTGCGGTCAATCAAATCCTGTGGTAAGGCAGTAGGGGGCGGGGCGGGGCTGAGCCATACTATCTGTGTCAATGGACACAAGGAGCGTGCCTTTGGATTAAGAAAGCAGATGTGCCAAAGTAAAAAGCAGCTTCCTATGGTGAATAGAAGAGAAGAGGAGTCAGAAGCCCCAGCAGGGAACTCGAGAAGAGGAGGTTTGGGACGCTCTGTGTAATTCCATTGCACTGAGCAGGTAAGAATAAATATGTTATTTAAAAAAAAAAATTTAAAATTAAAGACTTTATGATCACTTTAACTGTTGACGCATTTCTGTTTCAGCTTTGTACACTCTAAAGAGGACCTACAGTATAAACGGAACCAACACACAGCCCCAATGGAGGCCCCACCACAGTCAAAAACATTTTTGAAATTCTTCAGCATCTCAAGACCTAAACCTGTATCGCCTGCTCTTTCACTGCAAGAAAAATAGGTTACAGAGTAAATTAGTTGTATTTTAAAAATATGCTGTTTTTTCCACTAGTTCAGGGTTCGCCCTTGGTGCATATTTAATCTTGCTGCATTTACAATGTTGCAAACCTGACAGGTAACTGAAAATCATTTTGAATCAAACAATTAGTTTTAGCTTTATGAAGAGCCATGAGCGTTCTTTAACCCCTTTATTTGCCTTCACACTAAAACTGTAAAGTGAAATGCAAAGAATAAAATATAGGTTATATACTATCATTCCACTAAAATAATACTGCAAAAGCTGATAATGAATAATTAAAAAAAAAAAAAATACTTAAAAGTGATAAGAAACCTTTTTTGTACTCAATGTGGAAATTAGATTGATAAAGTCATAAAAACTCCACAAGATGAACAGATGTTCTTTCCACAACTTAGCTGGAAATAAAAAGAGAACTGGCCAAGAATGCCTGTAAAATATATGGAAAAACGTGCCTTTAGCACACAGCTATGCAGAAAAAAAGCAACATAACCAAAGTTAAGTAAAAGCGCTTTTGTCATTCTCTACACTAAAACAAGTAAATAACCCTTGCAGTGTGGGCGCAGTCGTACTCCAGAAGAAGCCTTTTTGGTTTTCCTGGAGTTGGGATTTAAAGTACCACATATTTTTATGCAAGAAAGGTTGAAATAATGTTTTTTAAAATTATTAATATGCCCAATGCAAAGGCAGGATTGTGTATCATTAGTATCATCAAGGAGGGACATGAATCAGTATGAATAAGCAGTCTGTTTTAGCTATAGCCTTAAGGTTAAGGTCTATGAGAGGGTGGTCTTTAGAGGTAGCTGGAACTGTGATGTGGATCAGTTTTTTGTTTTTTTGGCAGAGCAAAAACACCTGTTCCAGATCTACCCAGTCTCAATGTTCTAAACAAAGAGTGTTTATAGCAGTCAGCCACACTCGATAAATGAAAGTCCTGGTGGTAGTATACAAGGTCAGGAACACCTATGCCTCTTCTGCTCTATGGTGGAAAACGTCCTATTCGCATGTTCTTGTATGCCCAAAAGAATTGATTAAATTCACTTTTAACGGATCTTTAAAAGGAAGGAAGGTTATGGATTGGGAGGGTTTGCAGAAGGTATAGTAAGCCAGGTAATATGCCTAGTTTTAGTAAAATATTCCTCCCAAACCAGGTGTGTATGAGCTTGCTCCATTTTTTTTTTTTTTTTTTAACTATTTCTGTGCGTGTTTCAGCTTGCAAAATTATTGTAGCCAATAGAAAGAATGCTAGCTATGAGGAACGTAAATGCTCGCAAAAAAAAAAAAAAATGCACCCCCCCCCTTTTTTAAGTACTCGTATAAAGTCTATTGGGGCCACATGTGTCTCTTCCCCTAAAACAACTCATGCACATTTTCAAGCAATGAACTTCAAGCTTCATGAGACACTACGCTCAGGTATGAATTATTATTATTATACAGTATTTATATAGCGCCAAAGGGAATGCTCAGCGCTGTACAGTAGCAAGGGGGACAGAACATGAGACAAGACAGTAACAATACACTACACGAGGGGTTCGAGGGCCCTGCTCTTTCGAGCTTACAATCTAGGAGGGAGGGGAAGGTGGTACAGGAGGAGATGGCTATGGAGGAGGTTAGTTGTTAGGTGAGGTCAGGTGTTAGGTGAGGTTGGGGTACGCTTCCCTGAAGAGGAGGGTTTTCAGGGTGCGCCTGAAGGTGACAGTCTGATGGATTGGGGTAGGGAGTTCCAGAGGATGGGGGAAGTCCTGGAGAAGTCCTGCAATAGGGCGTGGGAGGAGGAGACCAGGGAGCTAGAGAGTAGGAGGTCCTGTGAGGAGCGGAGGGCACGGGTAGGGTAGTATTTGGGTATCAGGTCAGTTATGTAGTTCGGGGCGGCGTTGTGAATGGCTTTGTAGGTCAGAGTTAGCAATTTGAATTTGATGCGTTGGGCAATCGGGAGCCAATGAAGGGATTGGCAGAGGGGGGGGGGGGCAGATGTGGAGCGGTTGGTGAGGTGGATGAGTCTAGCCGCTGAGTGTAGGATCGACTGGAGTGGGGATAACGCTCGTTTGGGTAGGCCAGTGAGAAGGGAATTGCAATAGTCCAGGCGTGAGATGATGAGGGAGTGTACGAGTTGTTTGGTGGTATCTGGGGTGAGGAATGTGTGCATCTTGGAGATGTTGCGGAGGTGGAGCCTGCAAGATCTAGATAGCAGTTGGATGTGGGGAGGGAAGGAGAGGTGGGAGTCCAGGGTGACACCCAGGACTTTGGCGTGTGGGGTGGGAGAGATGGTGGCATTGTTAGTAGTGATGGAGAGGAGGGGGGGGGGGGGGGGGCACGGGGTGGGGGGAAGACCAGGAGCTCGGTTTTGGATAGGTTAAGTTTGAGGAAATGGAGCAACATCCAGTCTGATATGTCGTTTAGGAGGTGGGCGATGCGGGCAGAGAGTGAGGGGGTGAGGTTGGGGGTGGAGAGGTAAATTTGGGTGTCGTCGGCATAGAGGTGGTAATTGAAGCCGTGGGAGTGAATAAGTTTGCCAAGGGAGGAGGTATAGATGGAGAAGAGGAGGGGCCCGAGGACAGAGCCTTGGGGGACCGCGACAGAGAGGGGGGGGGAGGGGGAGGTGGCAGTGTTGTAGGTGACGCTGAAGGAGCGTTGGGAAAGGTAGGAGGAGAACCAGGAGAGAGCAGCGTCCTTGATGCCAAGGGAGAGCAGTTTGGCAAGGAGGAGAGGGTGGTCAACAGTGTCGAAGGCCGCGGAGAGGTTGAGGAGCAGGAGGATAGAATAGTGGCCATTGGCTTTGGCGGTTAGCAGGTCATTGGTGATTTTAAGTAGGGCGGTTTCGGTGGAGTGCAGGGGACGGAAGCCAGACTGTAGGGGGTCAAGGAGGTTGTTATCAGTGAGGTGGGCGCTTAGGCGATTGTAGACCAGGCACTCAAGGAGCTTGAAAGTGAAGGGCAACAAGGAGATGGGTCTAAGGTTAGTGGGGTCAAGGGGGGGTTTTTTGAGTATGGGGGTGATGTGTGCGTGCTTTAGAGGGGAGGGGAAGGTGCCGGTGGAGAGGGAGAGATTGAAGATGTGGGTGAGGAAGCCAATGATGGAGGGGGGGGGGGGGGGTGACTGGAGGAGCTGTGAGGGGATAGGGTCCAGGGGGCAGGTGGTGAGGCGGGCTTCAGTGAAGACCTTAGAGACCTCTCGGGGGTAGTTGGGCTGAAGGAGCGGAGTGTTGGGGAGGTGATGATGTGCGGGGCATTAGGTATAGTGGGGGGTAGTGTGACTATGAGGTCAGGGGAGGGAAGGGTTGAGGGGTTGAGGAGGAGGGCGGGAGGCTGGGTGGAGAGGTGGATTGTGAGTTGACAATGTCCTTACGGATTGCGTCAATCTTGTTTTCGAAGTGAGTGGCAATCTTGTGGGCGGTGAGTGAGGTGCTGGGTGGGGGTGGGTGGGGGAATGGGCACCATACTGTAGAATATAATGGAAACCCTAGAGTCGAATATTCAAGTGCTTCTGGTGAAGTTTCAAATCAATTTAATGTAAATAAGACCTAAGAAAGGGGGAAGGATGTCTTTGAAAATACCTTCTGGTGAGAGAGAAATGTTCATTCCCAAATATTTTTATTTTTCTTCTTCCTAGATACAGTACCTTGAAAAAGTATTCATACCCCTTTAAATTGTCCACATTTTGTCATGTTAACCAAAAACATAAATGTATTTTAGTGGGATTTTATGTGATAGACTAGCACAAAGTGGCACATAATTGTGAAGTGGAAGGAAAATGATAAATAGTTTAACATTTTTTAAAAATACATTTCTGAATATACTTGGTCTATTGCATAAAATCCCAATAAAATAAATTTACATTTTTGGTTGTAACATGACAAAATGTGGAACATTTCAAGGGGTATGAATACTTTTTCAAGGCACTGTGGATATTTATTTCTGGTTGCCTACTTAAATGGGAAATTAGATTTAATATTGCATAGTCTGTGGCTGGGAATGCTAATGTTCTAATTTTGTGAGGTTGATTTTATAGTTGGGAGAGTTTCATGTATTTTTCTAGTTTTATGAGAAGATTAGGGATGGAGTGTTCAGGTTTGGTTAAAAAGAAAAGTAGGTAATCTGCATATGCATGTTGTGATGGTCTCTCTCACCTTCTAGACCAGAGATGTTGGAGTCAGCACTTCTATGTCTTCAGAGAGGTTTCAGTCAGGATAAAGATTAGAGGAGATGGGGGAAACCCTGTTCTGTAGTGTTAGGGGAAAGTCTGCAGAGATGGCTTCATATATTCTAACTGCTGTGATTAGAATAGACTATATCTATCCATTTGTACAGCTTTTCTCCTATCCCTAAATATTTCAGAGTCTGCTCTAGGAATTACCATTTCAAGTAGTCGGGTAGGAAGGTCCTTTGACCGAGCTGGATAAATGAGGTTAAAGTGGTTCTAAAGGCACAGGGTTTTTCACATTAATGCATTCTCTGCATTAAAGGGATAGATCACCTTCACCAAAGAACTGCCTATGCAGGTAAGGTGCGCCTGTGGATAAAAACTAACTGCGTGTCTCTGACTAAAGCTGAATAATACCCTTGCTGCTATACATGTAGGCCATTTAAGTAGCTCATGAAGCCTGACTGGAATACTCTCAGCACGTTGCTAAGTGAGGTCTAGTATTTACTGCTCACCCCTACCATCACGGAGGGAGCTTTTCCTCTGATTTAGACCCCCACATATGCTCTATCCCTCTTCTGATACAGTAGCTCTGAGCAAGCTTAGCATCTGAGAGCTCACTCCTGTGATGGGAGAGCAATAATGACTAGGCCTCACTTAGCAACGTCCTGGGAATATTCCAGTCAGGCTTCGTGAGGTACATAAATGGCCTACACCTATAGCAAGGACATTATTCATCTTTAATCAGGGCTGCCCAGTTTGTTTATATCTACAGTCAAAATATAAATACAGGTGTACCTCGGTTTACAAATACCTTGGCTAACGTAATTTTCGATTTGCAAATGAAAATCCATTGAAAATAATGCCTCGGTTTACGAAATTTTTCACAATACATAGTGTATGTTGGTGCCGATTTTTAAATGCAATTGCCGGCTTTTTTTTTCCTTCACTATAGCTCACATAATTAGCTGTCACTTTTCCCGAGCTAAAGGAAACTTTGTTTCTTTTAGCTGGGGGAAAGTGACAGCTGATTCTCTGAGCTATATATAGTGAAGAAAAAAAAAAGCCGATAATTACATTTAAAAACTGGCACTGACCTACAGTGGCAGCGACTTTTTTTAAACTTTTTTTCTGACCTCCAGTTTATGAATTTTTCAAAATACGAAATTTCCCAGAGAACGCATTAAATTCGTAAACCATGGTACACCTGTACAAATATCCTGTACATGGACAAATCTACAAGTTGTGAAAGATTCACAGAAAACGATAATATTAAATAGTTACATTTCCAAACGCAACCTCCATGATAACACTTAAAGGCCAATTCCAGCCAACCCTCCTCCCGCCAAAGTCTTTACCGATTTCCGTATGCATTTATGATTTGTGTATATGTACCTTTTTTTTTTGACTAGTCACATAAGGCACAGGGTCCTCTTCCTCTTCTTCAGAGGGGGCCGTAAGTGATCAATGCAGAAAGCTATGCTGACGTGATGAAGTCAGCATCATTCTCTGCTGCATTGCTTTGTGAGCTTGAGATCACATAATGACACAGCCAAGATATGTATCTCAATAGCAAAGGGTACTAAAGACTGAGCAGTGCAGGACCATAAAGTGAGGCTTCAGAGAAAATAACCAGACAGCAGGTAAGTATTGCAGCAAAACCTTTGTCTTATTTTTACCAGTGTCAAAGCATGTAAAAAAAAAAAAAAAAAAAAAAAAAAAAAAAGAAAGAAAAAAAGGACATGCATACACACTGGATAGAGTACCTTAAACAACCACCAATAATACTGAAAGATATAAAGTTACAGAACAGACTTGTGAGATGTGAACTTACTTTCCCGCTGGTCCCTGTGCACCTCCACCACATTAGCTGGAGTACAAGAAATAGCCTCCGTTGTCTCCAACTGTGAATGTAATGTCAATTCCACAGAGAACTCATCTGATAGGCTGCTGTAGTTCATAGAGTTAGAGAGGGACCTGTTTGATAAGACATACAGTGATCTTAAATATACACATAAAATCAAAACTGTGATGAAGTCAAACATATACACACACACACACAGTTGTGGTCAAAATAAGAGCAGTCAGACATCACTAACCTGATCAATCACTGTTTTTGGTAGAAATGATATTTCTACATGGCAAATAATTTACTAGCAGGTGTAGTAGAGTAATAGAAATCCAACAGACCCAACAGTCATGATATGCATGCTGCTGATTCTGTGTAATTGAATCACTAATTGAAAAGGGCATGTTCAAAATAATAGCAGTGTGGAGTTCTATTAGTGAGGTCATTCATTCTTTGAAAAACAGGTGGCAATTATTGCCCTTATTTAAGGAAGGAAGGCAGCAAATGTTGTACATGCTGGTTACAGTGCATTTCTCTCTGAAATTCTGAGGAATATGTGTCGTTCCAGACATTGTTCAGAAGAACAGCGTACCTTGATTAAAAAGTTGATTGGAGAGGGGAAAACATATAAAAAAGTGCAGAAAATGATAGGCTGCTCAGCTAAAATGATCGCAAATGCTTTAAAAATGGCAACCAAAACCTGAAAGACGTAGAAGAAAGCGAAAAAAACTACCATTCGAATGGATAGAAGAATAGCCAAAATGGCAAGGGCTCAGCCAACAATCAGCTCCAGGAAGATCAAAGAAGGTCTAAAGTTACCTGTGAGTACTGTTACAATTAGAAGATGCCTATGTGAAGCCAAGCTATCTGCAAGAAGCCCCCGCAAAGTCCCACTGTTGCAAAAAAGACATGTGCTGAAGAGGTTACAATTTGCCAAAGAGCACATTGACTGGCCTAAAGAGAAATGGCGCAACATTTTGTGGACTGATGAAAGTAAGATTATTCTTTTTGGGTCTAGTGGCCAGAGACAGTTTGTCAGACGACCCCCAAACACTTAATTCAAGCCACAGTACACTGTGAAGACAGTGAAGCATGGTTGTGCAAGCATCATGATATGGGGATGTTTCTCATACTACGGTGTTTGGCCTATTTATTGCATACCAGGGATCATGGATCAGTTTGAATACATCAGAATACTTGAAGAGGTCATGCTGCCTTATGCTGAAGAGGAAATGCCCTTGAAATGGGTGTTCCAACAAGACAACAACCCCAAACACACCAGTAAACGTGCAACATCTTGGTTCCAGACCAACAAGATTGACGTTATGGAGTGGCCAGCCCAATCCCCGGATCTTAATCCAATAGAAAACTTGTGGGGTGACATCAAAAATGCAGTTTCTGAGGCAAAACCAAGAAATAGAGAAGAACTGTGGAATGTAGTCCAATCATCCTGGGCTGGAATACCTGTTCACGGGTGCCAGAAGTTGGTTGACTCCATGCAACACAGATGTACAGCAGTTCTCAGAAACAGTGCTTATACAACTAAATATTCATTATGTGATTCAAAGAAAAGCAAAATCTTCAAACATTTTTCAGTTTATATAATGAATGTTTGAGTTTGTAAAGAAGAATACAAACACTGCTATTTTTTTGAACAGTCTAATATTCACTTTTCTTCAATTTTTTTTTTTAGAGGAACAACACAAATTTGATATATTTTTCTTCATGTTTTGATTTGGAATAGAATGTGTAGTGTTCCCAATGCATTTGTGTGTATGGAAATAAAAGCTATTAGAAGGATTTTGAGCTTTATTCACTTTTTCAATACACTGCTATTATTTTGAACACAACTGTATATATTTATAGCGTACATTAAAATGTGTGCGACCATCTTCATAAACGTTTACCAACTACAAATGTTACTTGAAAGCTGGATTCACATTTATGCTTTACGGTATTGTGCTGTATATATAGGCTGGGTTCATTCTGAATAACACTCCAACCCACACCTACAGCAAAAACACACCTGCCCTATAGCGTAACACAACTGCGCTATAATACAACACAAATATAATTGCTCACTGCTTATGGTGCACTGGGTGGCCAAAAATAGAGAAGGTGCACGCTTTTGTGCATCAAGGCACATTGACAGCCCATTTAAAGTTAGCACATGTAAAGGTGAATTGGCACTAATACTTAACCATAATTTATCCTGAATAATAGTTAACATCACCCTTAAAATTAACCTTTAGCAGTTCACCTGAGCTCTAACATTGATACTTTAAAACAAACCCTTAACCTTAGTCCTCCCCTGTACCAACCAGAATATACAGTTGCTCACAGTCCAGCAAACTCTTGACCCTGATAACAAAATGATTTACCAACAAAAAAGGTTCCCCTTGGTCTGCTAAGGCTATGTTTGCATGGGTGACTAATGCTGGTGTGAATTACAGTAGCTCAGAGGTGGCTGTTTCAGCCACCTTGAGAAGCTAGCTGAGGCCACTGACAGGCTGACCAAAGACGGGATGGCATTGACCGCAGCTATCCATGGCTGTCTGCCCAGCCAGTGATTACCTGCTGTGATCTCTGCTGATCACACACAAACTGTATAATTGCTGTCATTCTCATCAGTTTTAGTCACCCATGCAAATGCAGCTTAAGACACCTAAAATGCATGGTGAGAGGACTGCAAACAGACTGCTCCACTATAAAACAAAATGGCTACTAGAAATATAACTGGCCTATTTTCCAAAATATTGTTGGATGGATAAACTACAAGCACTTTTAAGACAGAATCTAAGGTCATAGTCAGTCATGATTGGAATGAAAAAACAGGTCAAATGCTGACCTGTAAAACTAGCAGATTGGTTTGAGTAGCTGCGAGAATGTCACTGATGACAACACACCAGAAAAATGTATTCATTATGAAATGGTGATTGGACACAAGAGAACATGGTCCTCCCAAACTGAAATGACTAAGTTCCACCGCCTTGCTTGTGAAGAACTTCATACTTACACCGAGAAGTCATTTTGTTTAAGGATTTCTTTTAGTCTCTTCTGAAACATTCTTTCACTTTCTGTCATAGCCAAAAACCCACGATCTTTAGACAAAAAGCACATCAAAATTACTCAACACCAAGAAAACCTCTACCCAGACACATCTATAAGTCGATAAATATATCTATTTAGAAAAGTAACAAGGATACTGGTAAGAATACATAGTTCTTTTATTTATTTTACCTTTTTTTTCCTTTTACCACACTCTGTAGTGTTATAGTTCAGATTAGTTCAGATAGTTTTAGATTGTATGTTACTGATGAAAACAATATATTTTAGATAATGTCAAAATGAAAAAAATTAACATATATGCAAACAAAAACTGGAAAGTCTTGCTTGCAGAGAAGTAATCTAAAACATGTACTCACTGCTGTGAAACCCTGAAGCTGAAGTTAACGTATTGATATTTTTTTACATAGTTAGACTGGTCCAACTTGGACCAATGTAAGTATGCATGTGCCACACCTGAATGATCCCTGTGGAAGCTGGAAATCACCGCTACTACAATAATCTCTGCACGTTTCCTGGTCCTGTGCCAAGCAGCTGCCCTGCAACTTTCTCAGCACAGGAGGTTGCTTCCTCTGCACAGATGCCATTCAGAAAACATGTATTTTTTCAGTAACTGCAAAGAGTTCTCTGACTGAATGAGAAGAGGAGGTGGGGCTGTGAGATCACATCATCTACTCATCCCATCAGATAACGCTTTGTAGTGCTTACCTCAAGGATTTCCAGCTTAAGCAGAGAACATGCATACTTATATTATTATTATACAGTATTTATATAGCGCCAAAGGGTTTGCTCAGCACTGTTTGTCCAATATTTTTTTATATTTGTCCAAGCTGGACCAATGTAACTATACACAAATATCCATAGCTAAACTTCAGCTTTAAAATATCAATTATAACCCTCAGCACCAGATGTTTAAATGATGTCACATGATCTGTGAATAAATACACCCGTTTCTGGAAAGTTACAATTTCTGCTAGAGAACAATTTAAAACAAAAAGCATCATCAAGACTAATTAAACCTTTAAAACAAGTCTGGGATAAACTTATGGAAACGCATCAGACGTGGCTGGATCATAAAAAATATTCCACACTCATCATAGGAAGCACCATTAAACTGATAGAAAAAGGAAAGGAATTTGGCCACAACTCTGTCTACAGAAGGCTCCCCTTCAAATCTCAGTGATTAGGTAAGGATTAGAGAAGCAACCAAGGGGTTAATGATAATCAAGTAGCAGGGGGGAAAAAAAAAAAAAAACACCTCTGAGAGAGGAGAAATTGTCCATGGAAGAACTATGACCTGGATCCTCTCCAAAGCTGAGATTTACCCAACAGTGATGAAAAGAAAACCATTGCTCTGACAAAAAAAAAACGTGAAGAAAAGTTTGCCAAAAGACATGCAAATATGTGGAAAAATGTCCTCTTGTCTGATGACCAAAGTTTTTGGCTGCAGGCAAAACAGTGGCTTTGAGGTTAGCATGGGGGTGCTCAGCTCAAATCTCAGCCAGGACACTACAATTTGCATGTTCTCCCTGTGCCTGCGTGGATTTCCTCCATGCACTCGTTTCCCAAACTCCCAAAAACATGCTGGTATGTTAACTGGCCCTAGTATGTACATGCGTGTATGTATGTGTGATAAGAACCTTAGACTCAAAGCAACTCGAGGGCAGAGACGGGAATGTACGGTAAAGTGCTGTGTAAATGGTATGATCTATAAAAATGACTAATTAAAAAAACACCGGGCAGAAAGCCAATATTGCTCATTGACCAGAAAACACCATCCACAATAAAGCAAACATAGCCGTTTTGTTGGAGGGATGCTCTTTTCATTGGCTCAGACTGAAACTATTCAGAACAGAGGACAAGATGGAGCCAAATATAGGGAAGATCTAAAAGGAGAATATGCTTCTGTAGGCAAAAAAACTCATAACTGAGGCAGAGGTTCTCCTCTCGCAAGACTTTAGAATTCCTGTTTACCAACAATCCCATACAACTTTACAGAGCTAGAGCAATCTATACAAGAGAACACAAATGGCTAAAATTGCAGACTACAAAACTGGTAGAAACGTATCCCAAATGACACTAACTGCCGTCAAATGAGGCCCCAACAAGTATTAAAAGGAAGGGGGGTTACTTCTGTTAAAAACAATTGTCTGTTTTCTGTTTAGTTCACTTTTTGGCACCTTTAAAGTTTAAAGAATACATTGAATCTATTTTAAAAGAGAAGAATGGGTTTCCCAAAAAAAACCCCCCAAAAAACAAAAAGTATACTCACCTAGATGGATGCAGCATGGATCTAATGCTGCATCTCTCCCTCACCGCCTCTACACTGAGACCTGAGCGATCAAACACAGCTAATCGCTCAGTTGTGCCCTCTGCTCTGAGCAGAGAGCTGGCTGAGTGATATCAGCCGACAGCGGGCTTTAGCCCATTGTTGGCTGAAAACGGGTCACAGGGGTGCAGAACAAACCGCACTCCTGTGATCCATAGCAGAAGAATGGACAAAAAAGCTGTGGCCATACTTCTCCTTTATTACCAGGTTGTAATGTTCTACAATTAAAACAGCTGCAGGTGCTGTCTAAGGAGGAGATTAAAGTATTATACTTAACCATATCAGCTCATGCACCTTACATAAGGGAGTAAACACCACCGCATTTTTTACTACTTTGAAATTCGAAGCATTGTTGTCTATGGAACAATGCACACAGCTGAGTAAAGAACAGTAATACAGCGATGAGTACAGAACCGTAAAACAAAAACAGAAAATGTTATATTTGAGTACAGTAATACATGTTTAAGCGTCTGTAAGCATGTTTATGTGAGTATAAAGGAGTATACTATAACTATTTACAAAAGGGAGTCTCCACTGTCAGAATACAATAGAACAGCAGAGGAGATCCCTGCATCACACATTGAGTTGATGCAAGGATCTGTTAGTCTTTCTTTGTTCAACTCCCTGTAACCGACACAAGTTAGCAATGGCAGATTCCATGATCCTTTTAGGAAAGGTTCCATTTATTAGTAAAATGTCAGGAGACAACTATGGGGGTTGCAATTGCTAACCATCTTTTAAAAATGCTAGTTGCCTGGCTGTGTTTAAAATGAATATTTTTGAGTCACAGAATAACGCTATATTTTTTTCAGGTTAAAAACTCAGAAAGTACTCAAGCCAAAGCTTTAACATGACAGCAAAGAAATCAAC